TGGTGGGGGATGGTGGTGGGTGGGGGTGGTGGTAGAGTGATGGGGATGTTGGTAGAGTAGAGGGAGGTGGTGGTAGATGGTGATAGAAGGGGATGATGAGAGGTAGGGGGTGGGGATAGAGTAGAGGTGGTGTTAGAGTACAGGAGGTGGTGGTAGAGTAGGGGGAGTAGAGGATGGAATTAAAGTAGAAGGGTGGTGGTAGTAGTGAGGATGGTGGTAGAGTAGAGTGCTGGGAGAGTAGAGAATTGGTGTGGTAGAATAGAGTTGGTGGTAGAATAGAGGGAGTGGTAAAATTGAAGGATTAGTGATTATAACAACACACAGGGAGGAACAAACTCACATGGTAACAGCAACAACACACAACAATGAATCTAAAGCACTTCTCCTTGTGTCTAAGTCAACATCATAGTTTACAAAAATTTCTCACTGACATTACTCTCAAACAACAAACTTGGGAAAATAAATAGAACGTTTTGTATTTCATGTAAATAAGTTTGTAATACATATCAAAGTTACATATTTCAGGAGCACTGTTATTTGAGTTATAATATGATTGACATACTCGATCTGTTTTTAATGATTTGAAGTGACTTGACACATCTCAGGATCCAGCTTCTCTTAGTGTGGAATATGGTTGTTGACACACACTGGTAGGTTGACACACACACTGGTAGGTTGACACACACACTGGTAGGTTGACACACACTGGCAGGTTGACAGACACACACTGGTAGGTTGACACACACTGGTAGGTTGACACACACTGGTAGGTTGACACACACACTGGTAGGTTGACACACACACTGGTAGGTTGACACACACTGGCAGGTTGACAGACACACACTGGTAGGTTGACACACACTGGTAGGTTGACACACACACTGGACACACACTGGTAGGTTGACACACACTGGTGGTTGACTGGTGGGTGGTAGGTTGACACACACACTGGTGAGTTGACACACACACTGGTAGGTTGACACACACTGGTGGTTGACACACACTGGTAGGTTGACACACACACTGGTAGGTTGACACACACACACACACTGGTGGTTTGGCTTTACTGGTTTGACACACACTGGTAGGTTGACACACACTGGTAGGTTGACACACACTGGTAGGTTGACACACACACAGGGTGACTGGTAGGTTGACACACACTGGTAGGTTGACACACACACACTGGTAGGTTGACACACACTGGTAGGTTGACACACACTGGTAGGTTGACACACACGGTGAGTTGACATACACACTGGTAGGTTGAGGTGGTGGGGTTGACACACACACTGACCCACACACGGGTTGACACACACTGGTGGGTTGACACACACACTGGTGGGGTTGACACACACACTGGTTTGACACACTGGGTGGGGATTGACACACACTGGTAGGTTGACCCACACTGGTGGACACACACACTGGTGCCTACACACACGTGGGATTGACACACTGGTAGGTTGACACACACTGGTAGGTTGACACACACACTGGTAAGGTTGACACACACTGGTAGGTTGACACACACACACTGGTAGGTTGTTGGTAGGTTGACACACACTGGTTGGGTTGACACACACAGTTGACACACACTGGTGGGTTGACACACACACTGGTAGGTTGGGTAGGTTGACCTTGCACACTGGTAGGTTGACACACCTGGTGGGTTGACACACACTGGTAGGTTGACACACACACTGGTAGGTTGACACACACACTGGTAGGTTGACACACACTGGTGGGTTGAGCACACACTGGTAGGTTGACACACACACTGGTAGGTTGACACACACTGGTAGGTTGACACACACACACTGGTGGGTTGACACACACAGGTAGGTTGACACACACTGGTGGGAGGTTGACACACACTGGGCAGGTGGGGTTGACAGGTTGACACACTGGTGGGTTGACACACACACTGGTGGGTTGACACACACACTGGTGGAGTTGACACACACACTGAGTAGGTTGACACACACTGGTTGACACACACACAGGTTGACACACCTGGTTGACCTGGTGGGTTGACACACACACTGGTGGGGTTGACGCACACACGGTGGGTTGACACACACTGGTAGAGTTGACACACACTGGTGGGATGACACACACACTGGTGAGTTGAACACACTGGTAGGTTGACACACACGGGTAGGTTGACACACACTGGTAGGTTGAACACACACACTGGTAGGTTGACACACTGGTAGGTTGACACACTGGTAGGTTGACACACACACTGGTAGGTTGACACTGGTAGGTTGACACACACTGGTGGGTTGACACACACACACACCTGGTGGGTTGACACACACTGGTGACACACACACTGGTGGGTGACACACACTGGTAGGTTGACACACACTGGTAGGTTGACACACACACACACTGGTAGGTTGACACACACTGGTGGGTTGACACACACACACTGGTGGGATTGACACACACTGGTGGGTTGGCTTTTCAGGGTGACACACACTAGACACACACTGGTGGTTGACACACACACTGGTGGGTTGACACACACTGGTGACCTTTGCTGAGTGGGTTGACACACACACACTGGTAGGTTGACACACACTGGCAGGTTGACACACACTGGTAGGTTGACGCACACTGGTTGACACACACTGGTAGGTTGACACACACACTGGTAGGTTGACACACACTGGTAGGTTGACACACACTGGTGGTTGACACACACACACTGGTAGGTTGACACACACACTGGTAGGTTGACACACACACTGGTGGGTTGACACACACACACTGGTAGGTTGACACACACTGGTAGGTTGACACACACTGGTAGGTTGACACACACACACTGGTAGGTTGACACACACACACACTGGTAGGTTGACACACACACTGGTAGGTTGACACACACACTGGTAGGTTGACACACACTGGGTAGGTTGACACACACTGGTAGGTTGACACACACTGGTAGGTTGACACACACACTGGTGAGGTGGGTTGTGACACACACTGGTAGGTTGACACACACTGGTAGGTTGACACACACTGGTGGGATTGACACACACACTGGTAGGTTGACACACACACACACTGGTAGTTGACACACACTGTTGACACACACTGGTAGGTTGACACACTGGTAGGGTGACAGCACACACTGTTGGGTTGACTACACACTGGTATTGACACACACTGGTAGGTTGACACACACTTGACACACACTGGCAGGTTGACACACACTGGCAGGTGGCAGGTTGACACACACTGGCAGGTTGATACAGTGATGTAGTGGTGACAGACACTGGGTGAGGTGACAGACACTGGAGTGAGATGACAGACATTGGAGTAAGGTGACAGACACTGGAAGGGTGAGACACTGGAGTGGGTGACAGACACTGGAGTAGGTGAGACACTGGAGTAAGGTGACCAGACACTGGAGTAAGGTGACAGACACTGGAGTGGGTGAGTGGGTGAGACACTGGAGTGGGTGACCAGGCACTGGAGTGGAGTGACAGACTGGGTAAAGGTGAACACTGGAGTAGGGTGTGACAGACACTGGAGTGGGTGATGACACTGGGTAAGGTGCAGACACTGGAGTAAGGTGACAGACTTTCAGAAGTGAAGTGACAGGGTGACAGACACTGGAGTAAGGTGACAGACACTGGAGTAGATTGAAACACTGGAGTAAAAGTGACAGACACTGAAGTGAGGTGACAGACACTGGAGTAAGGTGACAGACACTGAAGTGGTGAGACACTGGAGTAGGGTGACAGACACTGGAGTAAGGTGACAGACACTGGAGTGGTGACAGACACTGGACAGACACTGGAGTAAGGTGATAGACACTGGAGTAAGGTGACAGACACTGAAGTGGGGTGACAGACACTGGAGTAAAGTGACAGACACTGGAGTAAGGTGAAACACTGGAGTAAAGTGACAGACACTGAAGTGAGGTGACAGACACTGAGTGGGGTGACAGAACAAGTGAAATTGACAGACACTGGGTGAAATGACAGACACTGGAGTCAAGGTGACAGACACTGGAGGTGAGGGTGACAACTGGAGAAGGTGACGAACTGGAGTAGAGACACTGGTGAGGTGACAGACACTGGAGTAGGTGACAGACACTGGAGTAAGGTGACAGCACTGACAGACACTGGAGTGGGTGACAGACACTGGAAGTGGTGACAGACACTTGGGCGTTCATCCTGGGCGCAAGTGGTGATGGTGGTGGTGATGTGGTGGTGGTGGTGGTGATGGTGGTGGTGGTGACTGGTGGGTGGTTGGGTGGTGGTTGGTTGTGTGGTGGGTGGTTGTGACTGGTTGGTTGATGGTGGTGATGACTGGTGGGTGGTTGTTGTTGTCACTGGGGGTAGTGACTGGTGGTGGTGGTGGTGGTGGTAGTGACTGAGTGGCCCTGGTGGGTGGTGGTGTGTGGTGGTAGGTGGTAGTGACTGCTGGTGGTTGTAGTGGTGGTGACTGGTGGTAGTGGTGGTGTGGTTTTTACGGGGATTAGCCCACCCGGTCACAGTCACTGACCAGTAGGGCCTGGTGGGTGGTAGTGGGGGGTGGTGGTGGTGACTGGTGGGTGGTGTTGGTGACTGGTGGGTGGTTAGTGGTGGTGGTGGGGTGACTGCTGGGTGGTTGTGGTGGTAGTGTGGAGGATGGTGGGGGGATGACTGGTGGAGTGGTTGTGGTAGTGGTGCTAGTATAGAGGTGCAGGTGGTGGTAGTGGTAGTAGCAGGGGATAGTGGTAGTGGGTGGTAATTAATTGGTAGTGGCAGGTAGTGGGGTTGAAACTGGTGGGTGGTAAATGGTGGTGGTGTGGTGACTGGTGGGTGGGGGGTTGTGCGGTGGGGGTGGTGGTAGTGGTGATGGTGTGGGGGGTGGTGGTGTTGGTGGAGAGGGTGGTGTGGTAGTGGTGATGGTGTGGGGAGGTGGTGGTGGTGGTGGGGGGGTGGTGGTAGTGGTGATAGTGTGGTGGGGGGGAGCTAATATAGTTTGTATACCTTTTAGGGAGCCCCTGTAACCATCTTCTGCAAGAGAACACAAAATACCTTCTGTACAGATTCATAGTAAAATAAACAAATATTTGACATGTTATTATTAACACTTCTAAATATGCATCTATATTTAACTTTAAGTAATTATATTAGAATATTCTCCATTGACTGATGATCTGAAATAATTATATGGAGCTTAAGTTTAGTTGTTAAGAGTGTTAGCTTTTTTCTTTCATGGTTTTGAGTCGATTATTGATCCTGCTTGAGAGAGAGAGAGAGAGAGAGAGAGAGAGAGAGAGAGAGAGAGAGAGAGAGAGAGAGATACAATATTACAAGAACTGTAAACTGTATATGTATTATGTATCCAATTGGGTACAGTCCTACAATACTCTGAATTACCACTACAGTACGTTACTGACTTCTACATGCAACGACAATAATAATAATAATAATAATAATAATAATAATAATAATAATAATAATAATAAAGGCCTGGTAATCCTTTAAGTAAACCACAACAGAACTTATAATCGAATCAACTTTACTTAATAGTTACTTTACTGATAATAAACATCTGAGATTGTAAAGTTTTCTCTGGATTTTAAACTGAAATGAAAATATTTACCATAAAAAACACACTAACATACATATATACATTAATATATATATAGAACATGTTGACTATATGAAACTATAAAGCAGAACGATTTATTTATTCTCGATATAGTACTAAAGGCATTATATAAACTTGGTAAGGACTTATAAATTTCTGCCTATGCGTTACATGTTATAGTTATGAAGACTCCAAAAAAACTGTCCCATACCTTTCCTATAAGATTCTTTTCTTGTATCACCTATAATGCTATATTCCCTATACCACCTATAACTCTATAGTATATTATCAGTACAGTATCTCCTATGAAGCAATAATATTCACTATACTGTACATTTTTAATCCTATTCTCTATAATTTTAAGATGCTATATTCTCTTTAGACACTCTAATTCTATTTTCAATATCCACTATAATGCTACATTCCCTATATCTTCAATAATTATTTATACTCTAAGTTAACTATGTTTCTACTCCTCTGTACCTATAATTGTCAATATCATCTCTTCCATAATTAGATAATCTATATATCGCCTGATTAAATTCTCTAAATATCCTAAAATTATATTAATTCTCTATAACTAATTTTGTCATATATCCTAATGTTATATTTTCTATAATCGTAGGTTAGTTTAATTATATGTTGATAATATCTCCTATAATAATTAGTCCTCCCTAATGATCCTTTATCGGCTCCTCGTCCCTATAAACACGAATCATCTCTTTGTCCCTAAGAGAAAGAAAGAGGGAATATGAAAGGAAGGGGAGGGAGGGGGGGAGGGGGGAGGGGGGGAGGAAGTGAATTAGTGTGTGAGGTAAAGGAGGGAGGGAGGGAGGGAGGGAGGTTGTCAGGGAGGGAGAGACAGGACCCTCCCCATCACCCACCTGGTCCTGCGAGACGACAGAGCTACGGTTACTCCTCACTCCCAGGTCCATGCCGAAGGGGTTAAGCTGGCGAGATGCCTGCTGGCCCCTCGCTGCCGCCGCCTCCAGCTGGGGATGTTGCTGCTGCTGGTGTCTGCTGCTGCCGTAGTAGTCCAAGTCCCGGGGTGATCCACCGCCCTCAGCAGACGAATCACTGCCGGAGCGAATGGTTAACAATAAAACAAATCCTACACTTGTGTACGTTCATTTAATTCCAGACAGGAGATAAATTCACCCGGAAAAGTTCACAACATTAATTTTGCCTCCAATCTGGTGCTAAGTGAAGCTATCTATTTAAAATTGAGTCTCAGGTATAAAGTAGAATCTATCTTTGGACTATAATTTTATGCTTTAAGTCAACCAGATAATTGTATTGTTACATTTTCTCTTACGAGGAATATTCATCGTACGAACTTAATGAGAATCTGAACCCGGATATCTTAGCCTTTATAAACAAGAACAGAGGTTTTCACAGTTAAAACTACGTGCTGATAAGATTGTGAGAAAGCATCTAACTGACTGAAGCCTACGATCAATAGGGCTGCCAGAATGACATAAAAATTGCACTTAAGATTTTACAGTTGTTTAAAGACATTCTCTCTCTATCTCGGTTAAATGACCCCTGAGCCATTGATCATGCAGAGCTTGATTAGTAAATACATTTGTCAGGTCACTAAAAGCTTATTTCAGTTGACTCCCGCTTCACCAAGTTACCCCAGTGCTCTACATAATCTGGGGATCAAGGAACGTCGATGTTAGTGTCTCATAATGACAGTAATAAGAAAAATTAAAATAATAATAATAATAATAATAATAATAATAATAATAATAATAATAATAATAATAATAATGCAGTAATAATAATAATAATAATAATAATAATAATAATAATAATAACAATAATAATAATAATAATAACTTCAATTAGATTATTTTCAGACATAACAAACAGTCATCATCCTTATCATTTCAACACATGCATTCGTTACCGTGTCGACCTGCTTAATTCATAAACTATAATCAGTAACACAACCCATCCTTTAAATGAAAGCTAATTCTCATTTCAAATTCGAATCAACTTAGTTCCTGTAATCTTGGTGGCTGATGGACTAACTTATCAAGGCTAATTTTAACACGCCACGTACAGATAACTCGGATTCCTATGGGGATTAATTTTCTCTCGTGTAAATTGTGTTTGAGAACTGTAACTATTTACGGTATAAATTCTCAGAGGTATTTTTTTTTTTACTTTTGTGTTTTTTTAACGAGGGTAGAAGAATGCGTTGATAGGAGCCATTTGATGCGTTAATAGGAGCCGTTTGATGCGTTAATGGGAGTAGTTTGATGCGTTAATAGGAGCAGCTTGATGCGTTAACAGGAATAGTTGTATAAGTTTTAAGTTGGCACACACACACACACACAGTATCGAACCAACCCTGATACCAGGAACTGGTCCAATAAGTACCTGGTATCATGTTTACCATCTGGATCTCCAATACAAGGCGAGAGTGATAAAACAGTGGATTAATCTCTTATCTAAATTACCAAAGTATTGACACAACACTGAAAGGACAACAGATTTTTTTTACCCTGAAATAAGATGCTTTATATTCTAACAGATTAAAGTATTATTATTATTATTATTATTATTATTATTATTATTATTATTATTATTATTATTATTATTATTATTATTATTATTATTATTATAACTCTAGTGTCGTCTTAGTTACTGTACTTAGTGTACTGCTCTTAGACAATCTAACGGATTCTAACCCACCGGGGCCAATCTTTTTAGTCCCAGGAAGGTGTTCAAGAAGTGTGTTTACCCCGGAGCTGTTCCTCAAGAGCGAATTTATTTACCACACCAAGCATTTTCTTCTCCTTTTGACCCGAGTGATTGCCTGAGTTAATCTTATATGAAGTGGAAAATTGTTCGTCAGCCTGCAAAGACTATTTTATGCGGTGATGTCCTCAGATCACCTTCACTTATGGTTTTTATTTCTCAGGATAGGAATTATGGAGGAACACATTTACGTATTGACAGGGCGCTGTAGTATATATATATATATATATATGCTGATAACCACAAGGAATTGTTGAAGTAAGCTGGAGGAAAGACAATATTTAAAATATATTTGGTCTGTATTATTGTACAGTAGTTATAGTGAGTCTGTGACCAGTTTATTGAAATAGATTTTGTCATGTGTTAGTTCTGTATGTATGAATTGAAACCCCAGATTATGCAGGCTACTGTGATACTCTGAAAGATAATAGAAAAGTACCTCAGTATGGAGGTTCTGTCTGGGCAAGAAAGAAGGCTGGAAGAGTCCCGACGGTCTCGCGTTGAGAAGGGACTCAAGTCGCCCAGGGAGATGCCACTTAATTTTCTGGCAACAGCGATAGGCACGTCAGGCTCGGCGGCGGCTGGATCGTCGATGGGGTGTGACCCGCAGAAGGAGGTCTCCAGCAGCATACAGGACGGTGATGGTGATCGTCCGCCAATCGACCCCGCGTCTGATCCCAGAGACGACAGGCGACTCCTGCGTCCTGGTTGTGGGGGCAGAAGGAAGTCTGACCAGTTGTCCGGGATGGGTGATCTTCGTTCCAACATTCCTGGCTCAGATGACAGCGATGATAACCGGTTGATGCAGTCGTTCACAGGCGCCAATAGTCGCTCCAGGTCGGAGTTCTCGTAGTCGTCCCCTTCTTTCTTTATCTCTTCAATTCTTTCTCTAACAGTCGTGAGGTCTTCACTTGACGACGGGCTGGTTGGCTTGTCACTGTCGGACGAATGGGAGCTGTCGCCTTTGTCGGGAGTAGAAGCTTCTGAGAGAGGTTGTCCATTGTCGGAATCTTGATCATGGAGGTTTAGAGGCCCAGGAAGAGGTGGAGGTAACTTTCGAGTTGGAGGTTCTTCTTCTTTACTTGTTCTCTCTTGCTGTATTCGTAGTTCTTCAAACTGGGGCTTGAATGTCAACATTTCTCTTTGATCTTGTGTGTCTTTCTGCCTCTGTTGTGGTTGATGTCTGGGAGGAACTGTCTTGATCTGACGCACTGGCTTTAGCACTATATCAGGCATTTCATCAAAGTTAATCCAGCTTTTTATTGGTTCTGGTGGAGGCGTCACTTGTGCTGCTTCTGGTATATTGAAGGGCTCTGGTGTCGTTACTGGAGATCGACCTGGAGATCGACCAGGAGAACGAGCTTTCGGTGGCAGAGGAGGCGGCGTGTCCTCAGAACTTTGCACACTCCTTTCCCTGTATTGTCTCCGCAGTGTCCTTGGGCTACGTAGCCCTTCTTGGCAGAAGTCTTCCCAGCTCTTCGAACTCTGCTTTTTTGGACTCCGGGTTGGCAGCACCTTGACTGGTCCAGTTTGTGGTATATTGATCATCATTTTGTCACTTTCTCCATCCGGTGTGCTGGCTACTTGTTTGAATTCCTCCAGGCGTCCCTGTATAAGGGGCGTAGTGCTACGCGGTCTGTCAATGGACTGAGTATGGTGCATTTTTGTCACTCGCTCCTTCACAGGGATCATGGGTGCTGCTAATGGCCGCTCCATGGGCAGTGTGGTGGGCACGTAGGGAAGTTCTCCATCCTCGAGAGAATCTTGAGAGACAAGTCCCTTATTCTCTACATCAGGAGATTCGACGTCAGGTTCAGCTCCCTGTTGTTGTCTTGCTTTATTCTTGAGATAATCAATTTCAGATTCGCGTTCTGACTCTGAACGTGAATCCCCATCTATACTAAGTTCTCGCGCCGCTGCTTCGACGGTCAACTCAGTTTCACTTGTGCGATCTTTATGCTTTGGAGGTAAGTTGGGTTTATCAGCCTCAGAAACTTCCTCTTTTTCTTTACTAACTTCAGATGAAACACTGCCAGAAGGTGGAGAAGGAGGAGCCAGGGATGGTTTATCAAAGACGTCATCTTCCATTATCTCTTTCTTTTCATTAAACCCGTTTTCTTTAGACTCTTCTACTATAGTTTTTTCACCAACCGGTTTACTATCTGAGGTGTTCATGATGGAGGAGAGTTCATTATAGGAGCTGTCCCTGGAGCTGATGGCGATGTCAGGCTGGGGAGCGTCTGTCTCGATTGACGGCGGGGTTGCTCGTAATGGCTCTTTTATAGCTCTGTTTAATTCACTCTCTTGTCTAATTAATCCAAAAGACGAGGACTGATACTTTCCATCGCCGTTAAATGTAAATTCAACGTTAGTGATGGCCTCGCTGATCTTACTGTCAGTGGAGAGTGTGCGAGTCTCAGCACTCGGTTTACCTTTCTCGGCATCAGATTTCTTTTTAGTCTTCGGTCTGAAGATAGAGAGGACACTCCTCCTATCATGTGTATCGTCCTCGAGATCTCTTTCCCGACTTTTGCTTCGACTGCGAGACCGACTTCTCGACCGGAACTCCTTCTTTGCAGACCTGATGAACTGACTAAATGGACTTCTACGGCCACTGGAGCCAGGTGAGTCTGGAGTGACGGGACTCAACACGCTGCTATCAGATTTACGAAATAGGTTTGTAAATGAACTTTTTCTTGACACTGACGGTGAGGAGGAGCCACTCTCCACCTCGTCTCTGGTTCTTCGTCTTCTGGATGCCCTGGGTGAGGCAGAAGGGGTGGTGGAGAAGGAGCGAGCATTGTGGTAGTCTGGGGTGGTGGCGGTGGCGGTTGCTGAAGAGGCCATAGAGGGTGAGGGCGACGATCGAGGAAGATCCTTCAAATCTGGAACCTGGGGGACAGGAACTTTCTTGGGCATCCTTGGTGATCGAGGAGAGGATTGAGAAGAAAGTGGCTGTCGTTGTTGCTGTTCCGGCTGTTGTGTTTGTTCAGTGCGTAAAGGAGATTTAGGAGGATGCGTTGATTGTTGCTCTTTGGGAGGTTTGGGAATGGCAGTGGTGATATGTTCTCCCTCCTTGGCGTGTGAAGGTTTTCTCTTGTCACTATTAGCCTCTCTATCCGCCAAAGAGGATTTGTCTTTGACAGTAGAGTCCACCGCTCTGGTGGAAGGCGGTGCTGATTTGACAGCAAAAAGCGGCACTTTCGTGATGGGTGCTTTGAATATCGCTGTTACCTCCTCTTGTTTAAGTTTCGGTAATGTTGCTGGTGACGTACGAAATATGTCTGGTGGCTTTGCCTCCATGGGGGATTTTACTCTTTGTATCGATTCAATCGTAAAATCCATTATTCTAGCGGTACTAAGTGGCGGATCTTCCAAATCTATACTGGGCTGTTGTATTGGTCGACTACCACAGAAAGAAGTCTCTAAAAGCATTCGATGTGGAGAAGGAGAGCGTCGTGCAGAGCCGATTGAGCCAAGAGAGGACAGTCTACTCGAGTGACCGCTGGTGACGGGAAGAAGACCGTCACTGATCACCGAGGAAGAAGAACCTTTACGGTTGAATTCAGCAACACGTAGTACTTCCTCACGTCTCTCAAGCTCAGCCAACTTGCACGCGCGCTCTCTTCTGCGTCGCTGCTGCTCCTCTTCATAAGCATCCAGCTCTTCAGTGCTTGAATGCAAGTCTGCCGCCATGTTCTCACAAAAGTCAGATTTAGCGTACCCTGAAAACAACTCTTTTTCTGGTGTAGAGTCTTTGGAGTCTGTCTCGTGAGGCGAGGAAGACGATGCTGCTGAAACACGAATCCTAGGGGACGCTGGTACACTGAGAGCTGCCGTAGCTGTAGGCGTCACGGGAGTCGTTGTACCTGATGTCTCCTCACCAATTTCAGGAAGCTGAGTCCGTTCCTCAGGGCTGGAGTCCGACGTAGTCTTGTCCATACTGAGATCCTCGAAGGAGGCAAGGGGCGCGGGGCCCATCCGCCGCTGCCGGGACGGGAAGCTAGACAGCCGCTGCCGCCCCGCGTCTGACAGAGATCTCTTGCTGGAGTCCATACTGTCGGGCGGGGGATGGCTGCGGCTGCCGGTGCTGCTGCTGGTGCAGCTGCCAGGGGTGATGGCGGTGGTAGTGGTGGCCATGGCGGAGGTGTGTGGGTGTGGGCTGGGGGTGAGTCATGTGCAGGGGTGCAGGCGTCACGTCTTGGCAGCGGGCGGGCCGTCCCGCTTGTTTACAGTCTCAGCTCCACCACTGCTGGCACGCTCCCACCTGCCGAGACAACCACACCTGTTATTACATCATCATAACATGCAAGATATCATCACCCTTAGTTTCTAAACTTTGGTGAAATATGATATATATGTTACAAAGAAAACATTATATAATGATTAATTACTAACATATAAACTCGAGACAAAATAAGTAATTCGAGGAATAATTTGACTGTAGCAATAACACAGTACAAGGTGTTAACCATAGTTTTAAGATTTTTCTAAATATACAGTTGAAAAGATAACAAACGAGAGACGCAATATACTAACTTGATTATTCATAATATTCATCAGTCAGATAACTGAGACACCAGGTAAGGTCCCTGCCATGATGTAGAGAGAAATTCTATCAAGTAAGAGACGAAGAGAAAGTAAATACAAATATGAAATGAGAGAATAAAATACCATCGTGAGCAGTACTCTTATCACCTGCAACAAGTGACTCAAGATTATAATAAGTTATGGACCTTCATAACCTGAAGGTCATTTACATTATTTAATGCACCATTTTAGGTCACCATTAGTAGTCGTGTTACTAGCAGTTGATGACCTCATTACTAAGGGATCATTATACCGTCAATACTGTTCAAGGCGGCCGAGTCGACCAGCCTGCAGAATATGTACCCAGCCTTGTAGTTATGGACGTCAAAAGTATCAGAGAGAAATACTAACCACACCGCCTCCTTATGTACCGAAGACTCTGTCCTCAGTATGCTGTATCCACACTGCCCCTAAAGGGCTATCAGGCCTTTGAGACACACTTTCATTATCATACTATCAGTAGCTACTGTACTTACCATTACCTCCTGACGTCATCACACGACTACAGTACCATCGCTAACTCATCAACTGCTGACTGAATCATTTGCACTAATGGTTTACTTTACATATGTGGTGGTTGTAGTGATAGTGGTGGTAGTGGTTATAGTGGTGATAGTAGTTAAGGTGGTGGTAGTAGTTATGATGGTGGTAGTAGTTATGGAGGTGGTTGTGGTTATAGTGGTGGTAGTTATGATGGTGGTAGTGGTTATGGAGGTGGTTGTGGTTATGGTGATGGTAGTGGTTATGGTGGTGCTAGTGGTGGTTGTAGAAATTATAGTGATACACTACTGGTATAGGAGGTGGTGGAGGAGGTGGTGGTGGTAGTAATGAAGATGATAAGAGGTGATAGCCGTGGTGAAGGTATTGCTAGCAGTGATAAGTGTGGTGGTAGTGGTTATGAGGGTGATAATGGTGACGGAAGTTGTGGTGGTTGTGGTGATAATGGTAGAAGTGATAATGATAGTGCTGGTAGTAGCAATAGTTGTTTTGGTAGTAGTGGTATAAATGAAGATTGTGGTGGTGATGGTGGTAGTAGTATGGGACTGTATGGACCAAAGCAGAACATAATGCACAAAGGCAGAACATACCACACAAAAAACTCAGATCAAACAACAATGACCATAAATGGATAAACAATTACTTAAAGAACATTATTGGTCAAAGGAAGGCTATAGGTAGGAGGATAAATCGTGGCGAAATTTACCTCCGGGATTATTATAAGGTATTGGCCGGTAGGGTTAAGACCGAGATAAGGAAAGCAAAGAGGAATAATGAGCTGAGGATAGCAAAGGAGGCAAAGACAAACCCCAAGGGATTCTATCAAATGTATCAAACTAAAACACGAGAAAAGATTGGGCCAATACAGTCAGATACCAGCGAGCTAACTGATAAAGACGGAGAAATGAGCAATAATCTGAATAAATATTTTTCAACAGTTTTCACCACCGAAAATTTAAACATGATACCCGAGGCACCGACTCTATTCAAAGATAGTGAAGAAAACAAATTAAGCGAGATAGTAGTGACTAGTAACGATGTTAGTAAGCAAATAGACAAACTAAAGCCTAATAAGTCACCTGGTCCCGATGAGATATTTGCCAGAGTATTAAAGGAATGTAAGGAAGAGCATAGTATGCCTTTAGCAAAGTTGTTTAACATGTCCTTAAAACCAGGTGTAGTACCAGAATCCTGGAGGATAGCGAATGTAATACCGATTTTCAAGGAGGGGGATAAATCACTATCCTCTAACTATCGCCCAATCAGTCTTACATCAATAGTAGGCAAATTACTGGAAGCAATCACTTCAAATTCTATTCAAAACCACCTGGAGAAGCACAAATTGATCAATGATTCCCTGCATGGCTTCACAAGCGGGCGTTCATGTCTAACTAATCTATTAACATTCTTTTCATCAGTTTTCGAATCGGTGGACGAGGGGCACAATTATGATGTGGTATATCTCGACTTTAGCAAAGCCTTCGACAGAGTCCCCCACGAAAGGTAGAAGCACATGGCATTAAAAGTAATATTCTAAAATGGATTAGGGCGGGGTTACAGGACACAAAACAGCGGGTGAGCATTAACGGCACTAAGTCCCATTGGAGCAATGTCACTAGAGGAGTTCCCCAAAACTCAGTACTTGGACCAATATTATTTATTATATACATAAACGACATAGATATCGGCATAGACAGCAACATAAGTAAATTTGCTGATGACACTAAAATAGGACATGTAATTAAATCTGACGAGGGCTCCGCAAAACTACAGGAAGATCTAAACAAATTTTTCGAATGGTCTGAAAAATGGCAGATGAAATTCAATGTGGACAAATGTAAAGTACTCAGTATAGGAGACGTAAACAAGGAAACCAGTTACCAGATGAACAACGATGCCATTGTGAAATCCGACTGCTAGAGAGATTTAGGAGTAATGATAAGTAGGAATCTAAAGCCAAGTAAACAATCTGTTTTTGCTCGTAACATGGCTAATAAAGTACTTGGGTTCATACAAAGGAGTGTTAGTTGAAGGTTCCAAGTGTTCCCTGAAGAAGGCAGTGATGGGTAGGGAAACACCGGGTAACACTGAAGTCCATTTATTAACGGATAGGAGAAATACAAGTGGTGACTAGCGTGTGACTTGCACGACCCACAGAGTCAGACTGAGACTGCCTTGCCATATGGCAGCCTCGGGGCAATGTTGCCACATAACCCGTGCAGTGTTGCCACGTAATTACATATATAAATGCTACTCGGCACAGTAGCTTAGATACATAACCTACATTAGTTACAAGACTAGATAGGTCATCTTAAGATTATATCTTGCACTTGTGAGACTTCACCTGGATTACACAGTTCAGTTCTGGTTACCGTATTACAGGATGGATATAGAATCCTTGGAAAGAATCCAGAAGAGAATGACAAGACCAATCCCGGGCATTAGGAACCTTGAGACAGGTTAAGGCATCTTAATTTACACTCCCTCGAGAGACGTAGAGCGAGGGGCGACATGATAGAGGTGTATAAATGGAAGTCAGGGCTAAACAAAGGGGACATTACAAAGGAACTCAAACTATCCAACCAGGAGCGAACTCGTAACAATGGTTTTAAATTAGATAAATTTAGATTTAGGCTCTAAATAGGTAAAGACTGGTTTGGAAACAGAGTAGTGGATGAATGGAACAAGTTACCAAATATCATCATTAACTCGAATACGCTGGATACCTTCAAACATAGGTTGGATGTTTATATGAGCAATAGGGGTTGGGGGTAAATGGGACTGCCCAGTATGGGCCAATAGGCCCACTGCAATTTCCTTCATTCTTATGTTCTTATGTAACTGTCGCCCAAGGTGCGGAACATCTATCTTGGGTAACAGACATTGCTGCGTCTGTGCTAGCCAGTACCAAAATTGCACAAGCTGTGATTGTGAGAGAAACAACCGACCATGTGTGGTTTGCAGAAAGGGAAACAACTGTCGGAACCCACAAGGCAGGGAGCCGACACAGGAGGCCACAGTGGATATCGCCGGGACCCAACCGCCCAATGATATCCTAAATGATAGCAGTGAGTCTACTCATCCTGGAAATGAGGTACTAATAAACGGTGCTCCAATCGTAGCTGATGTCCACGAGGTGAATGAGAGACAGCCACCACAGTGGAATGGCATGTCGATGGAAAATGCGGACATATGGGTTAAAGAAACTTACTCAGAAATTGTCAGGTGGTCGCCAGCTAACCTTTTTGAACCACCCAAGTGTGCGGCCACCAAAGAAATGATTCGGGAGATGATTCGCCCGATAACTGAGTACATTCAGGACTGCTTCCTTGCCCCATTAGCTCTTCAAATACTGGCAATAATACCACAAAGAAAATGCAGGAGATATGAAGAAAATATTGACAATGTGGCAGAATGGGGCCCTTGATGATCTCCTATGTGAAGCAAGAACACTGCAGGAGAGACTAAAATTTATAGGAGACGGAAATCAAAACACGGATTACGTTGCAAGAAAGTTTGGAAACAAAATGCGTGTGGGAAAAGTGTCTTTGGCGGTAAGATCTCTCACAGAGGAGTCCTCCGGTGGGGTTCTACCAATAAACAGAGAGACATTAAAGCAACTGAAAGAAAAACATCCCCCTGCAAGTGAGGAGGAAGGCATCAGGTTCCAGGGTGACTATATCCCACCAAACGCTGTCCTGTTTGAGAAAATAACATGAGGGATGGTGTGGAAAAAGGCACTGAAGACTCAAGGAGGTGCCGGACCTTCAGGTCTGGATGCAAACGGTTGGAGAGTCATCCTCAGCACTAAGTTCGGCCCCGTAGCAACTGATCTCTGCAGTGCCATTGCCGTCCTTGCAAGAAAGCTGGCATCCTCGAGCTGCCAACATCTCCATGCTGTCTCATTCCTCTGGATAAGAATCCAGGATTTTTTTTCGTTCTTTTTTTACGGAGATTAGCCTATCCAGGCACGGGTAATAACCCACATCAGGGCCTCGGGGGCGAAAATATAATAATAATAATAATAATAATAATAATAATAATAATAATAATAATAATAATAATAATAATAATAATAATAATAATAATAATAATAATAATAATAATAATAATAATAATAATAATAATAATAATAATAATAATAATAATAATAATAATAATAATAATAATAATAA